AAATATTTTTTTTTGGGACACACACAATGGCATAACTAAAGAGGGACTAGTGGAGGCTATGCCCCCAAATTTAAGAATTATAATTTAGATATTTAAAAAAAAATCAAAATTTTATTTAGCCCCTCAAAAATCTTTAAAAGTTCATATTAAACTTTAAATTTTTTTAATGTTCTTAATTAAATACCCTCCCATAAATTTTAAAAATTCTTATTAAGTCTATCAAAATTTCAAAAATTCTAGTTAGACCCTAATTTTTTGGGGGGAAAATGTAAACTAAAAACCTTCAAAATTTTTAAAAATTTCAATTTCAATCTTCGATTTTTTTTTTGAAGTTTTAAATTGGCTCCCGAAACTCTATGACCAAGTTCCTCCACTGTACACACATTAATTATTGAAATTTTTCGTACGGGTGGGCACAAATAAAATTTCAAGGTGAGCACCAATAGTAGAATGGACAACTAATTTAAATAAATTTGGATTTCAGGATGGGTAAGTGTCCACCCTACACATGCTTTAAATCCTCCATTGACGACGAGCACTAATATATATGCCTACTCTCTTATTTTATAGTATTTAAGAATTGATATTATGTAATGCCCCGAAACCCATGTCAATAGTTTGGGTCAACCTGAGACCCATTTTAGAGTCCAAAAGATGTATTAAAATGGTTTGGACCAAGTTTAATGGGAATTGCGCTGAGTTGGCCCAAGAGGCTTATGTAAGGTGGTGAAAATTACTAGGGTTGAAAGTGTAAGGACCTAAAGTGTAGTTTACCAATTTGCCGAAGATAAAAATTCCCCCTCATTTTATATTAGATCCACGTTAGCCAAAGCCCTGAAATCTTACAAATACGCTTCTTCTTCTTCCTTCTAGCATTTTTCATTTCTCTTCTTCTTCCATCTCAAATCTGTCTTGTTTTCTAAGCATTTCATTTCCTTTTGGTTAAACCAAAGTAAGATTTTGAATCACCATTCTTCAAGCTTTAATTTAAGCCTTATTTTGTAAGTTTTTACTATAGTTTCAAAAATGGTTTTTTGGGAGGCTCAATAGAAATCTTTGATTCCAAGTTTCTTTGATAGCTTTAATTCACTTAGAATTTCCTTTTCTTAACATTGAATAGTGAAAGAGGTAGGAGAAACTTCAAAAGCCAAAGGAAAAGAGACAACTCCATTAGAGTGATTGAGGCTTTGTATTTAGCCAAGAAAGTAAGGTATCCCCACTTGCAACTCTCTTATACTTATTGTGGGTCATTAAGTAAATAGTAGTTGCTTGAAAGTTAGATAAAGCATGATAATATGATTTCCATAGTGATTTTTGTATTTTAGTGTTATTAGCATGTTATAGAGCCTTATTTTTTATTCCTATGATCACATAAAACTTTAATAATAATTGGGAAACCTCAATGTAGGAAATTAGGGACTTTGAGAGTATGTTGGAGAGTTTTCTCAGGTGAAAAAGTAAAATCTGCATCATAGGTTTTGAAATCCCTGTGCTGGTTTCGAAACCCCTTCTCCAGAATGACATTCTGCCAAAGAGGTTTCGAAACTCCCCCTTAGATCGAAAACCTTGCCCAAAATTTCATAAATGGCCCATAACGTTGCCCGGGAGACCCTAGACCCATAGTATGACCATAAATGGGATTGAATAGGTGTAAAACTCTAAAATAAGTAATAGAGAAGGTGTTTAAAGTTGGGTTGCAATGGATGAAATAGTTATAAGGGTATCGATACTGCAGAGTAGGTATCTATACTATAAGGCCATTATCGATACTACAAAGTAGATATCTATACTGTAAGGCCAGTATCGATACCAAAGGTATGTTTTAGGATTTTAAGCAAGGAGAATTATAGAGGTAAGTGAGGATTTCCCACGAATTCTATAATTACTACAAAATAAAACTACAAGTGAGAACAATAATAAAATGTAAATCAATCGTAAAAATAAAATAAAATAGGGACAAATAAGACTAGCCTTGTTTGATGCTCGAGGAAATGATTCAGACACCCGAGTTTCTTTAGTTTAGGGTGTCGAAAGTATAGATGCAGTCCAGATATATCCTTAGGTAGGGCGCAAGGACCTTAAAATTGACTAGCTAGGGCGCAAGGTCCAACACTCGCAAGGGGTGGGCTAGTCAAGGGTGTGGTGTTTTATACAGAGTTTCTAAGGGCCACATCCTCGGTAGACTAGAGGGGTATGTGAGCTTCGAGATGCAGAAATCCCTCAGTCGCACCATAATGTCTATCATAGCGTAGAGAGTGAGTATTGTTGAAATTTAGATAGTTTCATTGTACACTTTTATTCAGTTATTTGAGCACGTTATAAATGATCTCTGTCAGTATAATTTAGTTGTTAGCGTGACATCGGGCTAGTTATCTCTGCGTTTGGAATTTATTTCCTTACGCATATTAGGTGAAGAACCGGAAGGGTGTCTGTTGACCAACAATGATCCAGACCTGATCCAGAGCAGAGTACGTCTCGAGTCCTTTAAAGGGCATGTATATTCAAATTTCATGTTTTGTATACTCGAGTCATTACTTTTTTTAAAAAAAGATGGTATGTATATTTTTTTCTAATTATTTTGTGGGAGCTCCAAAGCATAAATTGTTTGTATAAACGTTGTTATTTATTTTATTATGAATGTCTACCAGTAAATATTTTTTATGGAAGCATGTTAAAGAAAAATTTAGTTAGTCATTTCGGTGATTCCTTGTGGAATTCTTATCGGTCGACTGTGTATCGTACTAGTATAAGGTGTTACATATTATATTATAGTTTGACTGAGTTTATCTTAAAAGAAAGAAAAGCCAAGTCACGCTATTCACAAATACATTAAATTATGAAGGCTTAATATGTATGTTAGCATCTCTGTTATACGAGTGAAATTTTTCATAAAATAAACAAATAAGATTCAAAGAATTGGTTTCTGTAGTGATAGCCAACTCCGCCGCTATTTTTTTCTGAGTTCAAAGGTTGAAACTTTAAGAAAATACGCCGCTATTCACAAACCCATGTGAGTGATGATGTGGCAAGATCAGAAGGGGTGGAAGGTTGTAACGGAGAGCAGCAGCGGGGACCATGATTTTTTTTATAAGTAAAAATTTTATTATCCAAAATAGTAAAGTTTTGCTACAATCCAATCAACCAAACAGCAAAAGAACACTATGCACAACTATACAAAAACAGTGATTGGAAGAACTATAAACCCCAAGCATTACAAAGGATTAGATTAGTACTATCAAGTCTATTGAAGTTTTTCCCCCCTAAGACTAAACCGAACATCATCAATGATTTCAGTAAGTAAAATTTCAGCATGTCTTGATCGTTTCTGGAAGATACGCTGATTTCTTTCTTGCCAAACAGTATAAATAAAAGAAGACCAAGCAATTTTTAGAATGAATGGAGAAGAGACTTTCCTTTCCATGAATTGATTGATGTAGTAACCTGTTCCTCCCAAGTCAAGTTCGTAGGATTCATTCCATTCAGATTCAAGATAGAATTCCATAAGCAAGCTGCTAGAGCACACTCAGAAAATAAGTGGTTTTTTGTCTCTTGAAAACTGTTACAGATTACACAAGCAGAATTAGTGTTAATTCCCATTCGTTGTAAGCGGTCTCTAGTTGGTAATCTGTCTTGTAAAGCCATCCACACAATTAACGATTGTTTTGGAATATGCATTTGAAACCAGATGAGCTTATGCCATGTTACTTTCTGTCCTTTAGGTCTGATTTCATTCCAAATATCTTTAAGCCGAAAAGTGTTGTAAATAAATGGAACTGCATCAGCCCTCATTTTTAAGATACGTTTGGTGCTCCAGCTAACATTTAAAGCAAGTTCAAACTGCCAAAAATCAGTATCCTTGATGACATAGTTCTTGAGCCAAGCAACCCAAAGGGATCCATTACCAGCAAGGATTTTCTGAATGAGATGGATGATACAAGCTCTATTCCAGCTTTTGATATTTTTCATCCCTAGACCACTTTCAGATTTTGAGAGGCAAATTCTTTCCCAACTCACTCGAGCTCCAGCAGCAGATTGGTCTGCACCTTTCCAAAAAAATTGGGAGCATAATTGTTCCACCTTCTTTAAAATAGAGGCAGGCAAAATCAGTTGTCTGCGCCAATAATTGCTCACGCTGAAGAGGACAGACCGAATCAATTCCAGTCTGCCAACATAACTAAGATTCCGTGATGACCAGTGAAGGAGTCTTTGCTTGATTTTTCCAAGAAGAGCTTCACAATCTTTTTCATTAAGTTTACGCGTGACCAGAGGAATACCAAGGTATCTAACTGGAAGGCTGCCTACTTTGAAATTTGTTAAAAATTTTATTTCCTCGATGGATCTTGGTGATAGACCTGCAGCAAATAACTCACATTTGGATGAGTTTATTTTAAGACCAGAAATGTCGTGGAACTGCTGTAGTACACTAATAACACCACTAGCAGATTCAATGTTACCCTTGCAGAAAATCAGTAAATCATCTGCAAAGGATAGGTGCGTAAGCCCTGTTTTCTTGCATTTAGGGTGATAACCAAACAATCCCTTGGAAGCAGCCAGATTGAGCAGTTTGGATAGGATATTAATAGCAAGAACAATCAGGTATGGAGAAAGAGGATCCCTTTGCCTCAAGCCTCGAGCCCCTTTAAAGTAACCAATTAAAGTACCATTGAACGATATGGAGAACCTAGCTTGGGTGTAGCATATCTCAGCCCATTCAATGAATTTTTTAGGGAGATTAAGGGCTTTGAGAATGGCATAAATAAAACCCCAATGAATGGAATCAAACGCTTTATGAAGGTCAATTTTCATAGTACACCTAGGGAGATGGTCTTTCTACCATAACCTTTTACCATTTCCTGAGCAATGAGCGTATTATCAACAATGTCTCTGCCCCGGATAAAAGATGTCTGGTTTAAAGAAATGATCTCAGGAAGAACATCAATCAATCTTGTAACCAGGATTTTTGAAATGGCTTTATAAAAAACAGAACAACAGGATATGGGTCAAAAGTCTTTAACAGAACATGGATTTGGTACTTTAGGAGCAAGGACAATAACAGTAGAATTGAATGCTGGAAGCAAAAAATCATTGGAGAAGAAGTGCTTGACAGCTGCAGTGAAATCCTTACCCACAATAGTCCATGCTGCTTTGAAGAAGAGATGAGTAAATACGTCTGGACCCGGGGCTTTATCGTTTCCTTGGTTGAAGATGGCATTTTGGATTTCTACTCCAGTAACTTCTTTGACGAGACTTGAAGAAGCTTTAGAGGGAAGATTGAAATTCAGAAGAGTTTTGAGAAGATTAGGATCAATTTCTTTAACCGAGGAATCAACAGTTCCAATAAGATTAGAATAGAAATTGATCACTTCTTTAGCCATTGTGTCAAAGGTTTCAAGTCTATTTCCACTTTCATCCACAAGAACTCTAATTGTATCTCTTTTTTAAGGCTACCATGGAATGAAAGAATTTTGTATTTTTGTCGCCCTCTTTAATCCACTTTGATTTTGCTTTTTGCCTTAAGAACATACTTTCTGCTTGTTCCAAATTCTTCAGCTCATCTTGAATAGAAAGCTCCTTTTCAATGATATCCTCTCCTTTAAGAGTGAGAAGTTGTTGTTGTTCCAAAGCAGTACATTGAGATTTAACCCGATCCGAAATGTTACTGAAATTTTCTTTATTAAATCTCTTTAGGCACACTTTTAATCTTTTTAATTTGGAGAACAGGATCGTCATAGGATCTCCATGAGCTCTTTGATTCCAAGATTGCCTGACTTCATTTAGAAAACTATGATGTAATGTCCAAAATTTAAAAAACTTGAATGGCTTTGGTCTATTAATAGGTCCTCTTTAAAAAGCCAAGCAATAGCCATACAGTGGTCAGAGACTCCTGGGGCTAAAAATTCCACAAAGGAATGGTGAAAAGCAGTAGCCCAACTAGAATTAATCATGACTCTATCGAACTTTCTCGCCAGGAAAAGATCTTTTTGTTTATTACTCCAAGTATACTTAGGACCAAAGAAAGGATGGTCACTAATTTCCAGCTCACGAGTGAACTCTTGAAACTCTTTCATATCCGAAGTAATATATTGACCAAACAAATCATGATCAGAACTTTCCATCGAATGCAGAAAAGTATTAAAGTCACCCCTCAGAATCCAAGGATCATAATTAACTGAAATTTCAACTTCTTTAATCTTCTTCCATAAGAGTCTTCTAGCAATCCCATCATTTTTACCATAGATAGCAGAAATGAACACTGGACAACCAAGAAAATATCCTTTAATGGTGATACTTTGATCAAAGGTTTGAATAATAGAGAAATTTAATCCTTTCCTCCACATCACCAATATCCTACCATTGATAGCATGTTCATAATTAGTCCAGACAGTCCAATTCAAAAATTGTGTGCTTAAAATAACTTCTGATTTTTCAGCTTTGACTCTTGTTTCCAATAGACATAGTACATCAACTTTGTTATGATTTGCACGCTGGACTACTTTATTCTGTTTAATAGGACTATTAAGTCCTCTTATGTTCCAAAAGCTAATAATCATTGGGATGTAGATCCCGAGAGCCCTCTTTGATTTGCAACCGATGTGCACTTAGTTTTGTTGAGAATTTCCTTTTTTTTTTATTTTAGCTCAGCAACTCCCTTTGCAGCAGCTCTAGGTTTCCTTGGCAGACTTTCCATGTTAATGAGAGTCTCATCAACGAAATTAAGCACATCAAATCGATTCTTCGAGCCTGTTAGAGATGACTTTGCCTTATCATTAATAGGTATGCCTCTTTCTTTTTAGGGATTGAATGCTGTACTGGATGATCCACCACAACAGTGTCAACGGGAAGAGATCTTTCAGTCCCAGGGTTAGCAATAATAGTTTTAACTGGGACAACTTCCTTTAAAACTGTTGGAGTAGCAGAATCTTCAAAACCACCATTATCATTAATTTTCCCCATATCATCATTTTTTACTTCCTCATCTATAGAATTTGCTTGCACTGTATTCGGAGTATTACATACTATTTCCAAACTTGCTTCAACTCCTTCCACAGTCTTATTTGGAAGGCTCTCTCCTTTCTTGACCCAAATTTGAGATACAACAGTAGCTTCATTAGTTTTCTTAGGACAACCTTTATCCTTATGCCCAAATACCTTACGGTTCTTACAAGAATTAGGAAGCCAAGGCACTTCAACTTGTATAGAAGTAGATTGCCCATCTTTTAAAATGACTTCAATGTATTTTGGTATATTATCATTAACCCCAACTTCAATACACACTTTGACAAACTCAAGCCTAGTCTTAATAACAGGTTTGGAGTCCATAGAGATAGGGACTCCAATGGCAGAGGCTATATAACTTAATCCAACTCGAGAAAATAGTTATAAAGAAACATTATACAGATTGACCCAAATTGGAATAGTAGACAAGTTGAAGCTAAGGCATTTCATGTTTGGTTCCCATTTACGAAGAATAAGAGGCTTATTATGCACATGCCATGGACCATTTTCAAGTAACCAATCACGGGCAGATTCAGAATTGAAAGAAAAAATAAACAGGTTGTTGCCAGCGGAACTAACCTGTATCTGTGAACCCTTCAAAGCTTTTCCCCAAATGTTGTTGACGATTCTGTGCAACGAGGCAAAGGAAGGTGCAACTCCAAGAAACTGGCCCACGAGAGACAATTTCCATTCGGAAATTCCATCTTCGATCACCTCCAAAGGCGGAAGAACAGTCGGGCTTCCATCGCTAGTTTTTGGGGGAAAATAATCTAGGTTTTGATTTTCAGAACTGCTAAACAATTTTTTCCAATCCATCATCGAAGGCAGGAAATAGTATGAAAAGAAGACAGAGGAGAGACTTTAGAGACTGTAATCGGAACCCAAAGCAGATTTTGAAAGGTGTATCATTTTGAAAGGTCGGTGAAGGTTAAGAGTCATGGCCGCTAGCTACATAACACTCGGAAACACACACACTCGTAGTTTATACTTGTTTATATTTATATTTTCTGCTGTCTCTGGCTCTGCTTGTTCAACTTAGAAACTCTACTAGAGAAAGAAAGTTGGATGGATAGTATCTAATTAGAGTCTGATTGATTGTTGACAGCAAGAGACACAGAGATCTAATGGAGTATGAGAGAATTGACAAACCTCAGGTAAGCCTTTTTCCTTTTGTTCTTTTTTGAGTTTTGGTATATTAATAATGGCTTTTAAGCGGTGAATGGTTTTTTCCCCTTTTAATCTGATATAGGTTTTAAACAAAGTTGTAAAATTTAAAGGTTTTTGCTCATATTTTCATACTTCAGAGTGGAATTTCACCAAGTAAATTAAGGATGAAGCTGATCATTATCATCGAAAGAAGGATGGATCAAATAGCAATACTTCGAGGACATCTCCTTCTAGGATTAGTGATGCTGAGTTTGTCAACAGTCTAATAGCCTCGGACAATGAAGATTTGGATGAGGAGGGTTTGTTTCTTTTTCTCCCTTTCTCTCATTATCATTACTCATATATTGACGAGGAAGGACATCTCTCCAAGTATGGTTCTGTTTGTTTCTGATGAATTCAGCCAAGTGTTTTGTAAAAGTTGAATGCTGATTTTAGAACATATTTGATTGATACACAGTTCCCAGCTTAGATGTTGCACCAGTTAAAGTGTCCAGTGAGATGGTTTTGGATTCCAACCTGAATGATCAAATTTCTAGCCAAGCAAAGGGATCTCTGGCAGAGGAGAGTGTCCAAGTGAGCCGTGCTAAGTTACAGCAATGCCCAAAGAGTGATAATGGTAATTCCAGCGCCATTCATCCAATGAGAACGCTTGAAGATGAAAACCTTGATTATGATAGTAATGCAAGTTCATCAAGTTTTGAGTTTCATAAAGGGGAGAGAGCAGCAGTACACAATTGCCTGCCGAGGTCGTACTCGAGACCTATGTAATCTAAGTGGAATGATGCTGGGAAATGGATAATGAACAGGCAAAACGTGCAAGCTACTTGTTCTAAGAAGAATGCAATTCACAACCAAGTTAATCGATATCCTCTTACCCATATAGTGAGAGTTGCTCCTGAGTCTGTGAATTATGATCAGTGGCTGTCTGCTAAAGCCGTAGCAGAGACTCACGCTCTGCACTTACCAATTGACAATTTCTCTTTTATTCCTTCTGGAGCTCATCATACCTCAGCACAATCATGTGGAGGTTATGTATTCAGTTTTCTCGGAGTAAGGATTGTAAGGAAGTGGTTCACAGGGATTTATCTCCTACAAGAAGTTCTGAAGAAGATACAACTGGTAAATTTGCATAAAAAGCTTTTCTTATAGTTTATGAATGAAAATATATGAACCCGTAGATTGTATGTAGCGATGTACTGTGCATTCAGTTTGATTATCATGTGAGCACCACAATGAGCACTTGCATTATAATATGATTAAGAACATTGAAATGAGTCTTGAGACTATCATGTAGGGAGTATAAATAAGGGATCAGCTCCTTCGTATCCGGATCATTTTTCCATTTTGCATTGTGGATATATTGATGATAGTTATTTTTTTGATATCTATTCTTTTATCTCTAACTTAAGATTCGGCCTTGCAGTTATTCTTGCTGTACAATCAGTTTGTATGAGACATGGGAACAGAAATGACCCCTGTTGCAAGTCAAGAGCCTTCTAGGAGTGCTACACCTGTAGGGGCAACAACAACACTCCGTAGCCCAACATCTTCGATCCCATCTACTCCTCGTGGAGGGGCACCGACATCGACGCCTTTAGACCATAATGTAGATGATGAGTCACATTGTCTTGAAAATGGCAGGAAAGCATTGTCTGAGAAAGAAACCAAGCTCGAGACAAGAAGAGAGATAGTAGCCCTTGGTGTCCAACTTGGAAACATGAGTGTTGCTGCTTGGGAAAGCAAGGACGAGAAGGAATACAATACCTCTTCAGGAGATATCACTCCTATGGAGGAGCTTGAGCGGATTCAATATGGAAAACAAGCAGCAGTATGGGAGGAAGTTAAAAAGTTTAAGCAGATAGCAAGGTTCTGATATGTGCTTTGCAAATTTAATGCTTGTTAAACAATTCCCCATCAGTTTATTTGTTCTGAATGCTGATATCAATTTCTCAGGCATAAGCGTGAAGAAATCAAAATTCAAGCATGGGAGAGTCAGCAGAGAGCAAAACTAGAAGCCGAAATGCGAAGAATAGAGGTATCTGAAATCCCATCTTTCAACAAATAGTCAAAATTTATTCTTATTGAAAACATTTAAAGATTACTGATCTTAATGCAAACTGATAGTAATAAAGCTCAATTATAGAGGATCATTTATTTGGTCATATGCTGAGCAACAAGTATCGATAGTAACTGTACAAGTCTTCTACTTTTCAGGCCAAAGTAGAGTAAATGAGAAGCCAAGCTCAAGCAAAGATTGTGAAGAAGATTGCTATGGCCGGGAAAAGATCTGAAGAAAAACTAGCTGCAGCCGAAGCTAGAAAGGATCGAGATGTGGAAAGAACTGCTGCTCAAGCAGAATACATTCGACAAACCGGAAGAATGCCATCATCGCCGTACATGTGTTTTGCTTGGTTGTCATATTATTATAGTAAACAATCCATAAAAGCAAAAATTTCTCGCAGTTGAACCAAAGTAGCACGCACCTCTTATAACCTTGTTTTGAGCAGTGTTAGTGAAGATGGAGTGTTGTATTTACAGAATGACATTAGGGTTTTTTTGTGTGTGTGTGTGTGTTGATTACATGGAAATATGAAATGAATAGCGCAATTGGTGCAACTAATGTCCATTCCAATAGCAATTGATGAAATCATGCATATATTTATCTTACACAAAGGAAGAATCAGCCTCTGAATTGCCAATGACTTGAAACCGGTTAAGTCAGCAAAATATTGGTGCTAAAGAGACTAGTCATGGTTGCCTGTATTCTTGAAGACTTGGGCTTCACTCTGGTATCAGATAGACCAGAACCATGTCAACCAATCTTTGCATACTGTAAAGTATGTACTGTTCAATAGCAGTTGTTGGAGTGTAGCACAATAATTTGGACTTTTGGACGAATCCATGTGGCTTGAAAATTTCGTTGGTGAAGGGTTATGAACCATAGGTTCATAGTAGTAATGCATGTACATCAGCAATTGTCTAGTTTGGCATCTGCTTCAGTGAACATACTGAGCTTGTTCAAGTCTCTTTTCCCACTTTAGTGCTGCATGTAAAGGGTTAAAGCTATACATCAATATCTGGTTGATCTTTTATACCATTTTCAGTAGTCTTTTGAGGGTTTCAAGTTTCCGTGTTCAACTAGTTCAAGCCAAGCAGAGAAATTCTGTTTCACACCATTAGAAACCGGAACCAGACCCATAGCCAAGCAATTTTCACTTTCATGGCCTTGGTTCGTACCAAGCATAAACTTTTAGTATCAGTAGTTTTGTACAAGAAATTGGATGACTTGTTTTTTTTTTTTAATTTTAATGGTTCCGTGCATTTCTTTTCATGAATGCTGCTGAAAGTAATCAAAGGGTGAAAACTGAAAAAAGTTAGATTCATTCAGACAACCGGAAATGCAAAAGCAGAAAAGAGCAGTAAAACAAAACATCAAAAGAGGAGCCTGCAGAATTATTCTCATGTCCGTGTTAATGTTATGATCGTGTTGAAGATACTATATATTTTCATGTAGCTAATAATTCATGTCATCTGTATATGACTTAGTCCAGTAGGGAAACAGACTACGTACGGACAACGATATGAAACACAAGATTTCTTCTTGTCAACATCTTCAATCTTCCCCACATTCATGGAGATATAATGAAAGAACAAGTAACTGTCCTTCAAAACACTGACAAAGTTCATGTCCATCACCAATATTGCCAAATCTCTCTCACCTAAATGAAATCTTCCAGTACTTTACCAACAACAAAATGAGTACGCACCGAGCTGCCAACGACACTCATTTTCACGCGCTCTAAAACGAGTTGGAACGTGCCTTTTTTACCGGCAAAAGTGCCCAGATAATGATTCAGTGATTGTTTAATTCCCAAAAAATTCCAGTTTACTTATTATTTCTCGAAATGGGGTGAAATGTACAGTGCTTCAAGTGGTTCTTCGGATATCTCGGCGTCTTTAGGGTTAATTTTTTCCATGCTTGATTTCTCGGCGTCTTTGGGGTTAATATTTTCCATGACGCTAGGGGAATGCTCGGCGTCTTCAAGCAATTCATATTGACTGTGGGATCTCTCGGCGTCTTCTGTTGCATGTGGGAGATCACAGGGTGAGCAGAGAAAGCTGCTGTTGCATGTGCCAGGGGTGAGCAGCTGCATGTGGGGGCCTGGACGTGAATCGTGCGTGCATGCTACAAGGATTCATGCGTTTCTAGGGGAATCTCTGCTTTTCTAACAAAATTTTCCATGCCAAGGTGGATCTCTCGGCGTCTTCCGTGCATGAATGCTCAGGGATTGCTTGGCGTCTTCACCTGTCGTCTGGCGGGTATCTCTGCATGACTCTCTGCATGCATGCAGAGTTGCTTTGAACGTGTAAAGCACTTGAATACAATAATAGTGGGATTGCTCGACGTCTTTAGTTAATAGGGTTACAAGGGCGTTCGATTTCCCGGCGTCTTCAGCTATGCATGGAGAATATTTGGTTGCAGGTGGCCGTGAAATCTCGGCGTCTTCTTCTTCCTCCGAGATTCGTTCTGCATGCGTCTGTATGCTTTGGGGCCGAAGCGTGAGATTCTCCTGAAGCGTGAGATTTGTTGCATGCTTTGAGACCAATAATGTGTCTGCACCGATCATACCAATAATAAATTTGCTCGA